TTCAAATTGAAAAGCAAAACAAAATTAATAGCCTTCATTTCTTAGGATTGCATGAATGGAAACACTAGTCTGCTGTGGTGCATAGCAGAGAGCTGAAACTGTACCTCTGCTTTCTTGCAGATATTTGCTGTTCTATCACAAACAGTTCCTGGAGTATGAATAGCCTTATCCAGCAGCTTGGCAGATACAAACAAGGAAGAAAATAAGCAAGCCTTCTGAATCGACACACAAACCTACCTGAAATGAAAAGACCCATTACAAACCAACTAGCACTGAGCTGTAACAGGACCTACTTGACACTGACTGAAAGCCTGGCGGAGTAAGGAATGAACAATGTCCAACGTGTGAGGACAGAAAGGGGGAAAAAAGAGGCTACAGTCAGTCACTTAACAGAGGAAATATAAAATGAAAGGAATGCTCTGGGTGGGGGAAATGGGAGCAGAGGAGTCCGGGCACTGGTACATCTCCTATGTTCCTCCAACATGTGTGTGGGAAGGCAAAGGGTTCTACCCTCATCTCCATAAAGCATCTTCTCCATTTGGTGCTTCAGCTCCAACGACCAATCATATAACAGTTAAAAGTTAAATCCAAGCCCATTTTTTATGCATATGGGTCTGAAAGCAGTAGAGTGGAGGAGGAGGGGATGACAGAACTAAAGGACTTTGCAAGTATCTTTTTATTTGTGAATTTTAGTTATTAAATAAATACAGTATGAAACTATTAGGCTCTTTCTTTTCCAACAACCATAAAGGAAACCCTGGATTGTGGAACTGAAGCTACAGCACTCAAAACAGGTTTTCAAGCATGCCTGCTTGCACAGGTAATGGTTAATGCCATCGGACTGCTCATCAAAAGCATCAGCACAGATTCTTTTCTGTTTGAGCCCTTTTTTTTTGGTTTTGTTTTCTATAAATAGCTATTTTCTTAATTTTTTTTTTCCTTTTATTCCCTTTTTTTTTTTTTTCCACGAGAATGAAATTCATAAATGCAACCATCAGTAAAAATGAATGAATTGGCGTGTTTATACTGTAAGAGTGGTCTTGGTTCTTTTTCCCCTGAATCTTGTGAAGAAGTTTGAATTTCTCAAAACTGTTTGTTCTGTTGTTGCTGGTTTTGGTTTGGGGTTATTGTTTTTCCTGTTCCCTTGCTGTCTTCCAAAGGTTTCTGTGTGCCACAGGAGACAACTTGAGCATTGAAAACTGTACCATCTGTTGGAAGCGGCTGCTGCTGGGGGCAGCACTGAGCGGTGGAGCTGCTGCTATGGAGCACTTCTGCAGTGCACTCGGGTTTTTAAGTAAACAGCACATTTGCCTGCTCTCTGCTGGGCTGGTTTTGGTTCCTTGTATCCTCCCACATGTATTAACTCCTCACACACTCCTCCCTGCAGAATCACAGCCTCCATATCTGTAACTTGCAGCGCTCGGTGCACCAGCTCACTCTGGCTTTGTCACAGACATGGGTTTGCTCCTGTTCTGCTCCATCACCGTGTTGGCTTGATGAGATGGCAGCAGTATCTAGCCCTGTGCTGTGTCTTGCTCTCAGGAAGCTGGGCTTGAATTGCAGAAAGCCTTAAGTGCTGAAAAGAGCAAAAATAGCTTTGTTCTACCTTCGTCTGGAGCCTGTCGAGAGCTGTGTGTAAGAGGCACTGTATTGACGGGTGTAAGAGCCTCACCAAAAAGGTCATTGAGCTCCAGGCAAGCCTTAAACTTTATCACTATGGTTAAAACAAAGGATGTGCCTTAATGTTTTCGATTCTGTGCTCTAGCAGTGTGTGGGAGGTGTCCAACGTGCCCATGGCAGAGGTGGAAAACAGCTTAATAGAAGAAATAGGAGGAAAAATAAGGGAAAGGAATTCGGTTTTTAAGTGAGCATCTTAACAAGAGCTGAGTCTGATCTGTACACACACTGGGAGAAGACTGGAAGAGATCTCTGCGACAGCTTGCACCAGGGAAGGAAGAAAAGGCAGCGAATTGAAGCACCTTGAATACCAAATGAGACACGGAAAACATTCCGTATGGTGCGGGAGGTACCTAAGGCTGCATGATTCCTGCAGGAGCAATCCCATCCTCTCATTTGTAACCCATCTTTCCCTGTCGTCACGCTTGGAAACTGTGTTCAGTTGTAATTGGGTGCTGCAGGATTTAACCTGAGCCTTCCCGTGGAAGAATGAAATACGGCTGGAGAAATGCAGATGGAGGAACGTGCTCCCATGGGGAGGGGGGGGGCCCTGCACTGTAGCGTGCAGATGCTCAACGCTTTCTGCTCCCTTTGAATAATGCAGCAAGCTTGCAGAGGAAGACAAGAATCAGCCTTTTATCATTCCAGGACTGCTCCCACCTTGTCCTGTGCCGGAGGAGGAGTGCCACCGTGCGGCAGATGGGCTTCACCGTGCCGGGGATGCTGTTTGCTTTGTGACACCCTGGTCTTAGCCTTCTCCTGCTCCGTGTGATGCTGGAGCCTGAGCTAATGAATCCTGCTTCCCACTGACACATGCATGGCCACCGGAGCTAATGCAGCTTGCTTTGTTAATCCTTTAGGAACAAATTGTTTAGGGGTAAGGCCAGTCATAGAAATCAATCCTCTGTTCCCACCCCCCCCAGGGCTGTGATCTGTCACTGCACCGGCACAGATGGGGTTTGGTGGGAGATTTCAGTGCTGTGTTTTCGCTTTCAAAAGCAGAATTCCTGGTGTATTAAAAGCTCTTCTTCTCCTTTTTCCCCACCCTCCCTCCCTGGATCACACCGGGCGTGTTTCTATTTCTAGCGACAGTAAATCAGTGCAGGTTGCTAAAGGAGGAGAGAGAATATTCCCTCCTCTTCCTATAGAAAAGGAAGAAGAGCTGTTGTCACAGAGGCAGCACTACGCCTTGTGATGCTGCTTCTCAGACAGTCTCCTCTTCCCCTTAGTCTCTTCCATGCAGCTCATGCACTGGTTTATGCCCTGCAGAACCAGTTCTTGCTGTGCAGCAATACACTAGCGAAGGCCTGGTGGGGTTCTGCCTCCCCAGTGCAGAGAGCACAGGGGAAGGCTGCTCCTCAGTGACTCCAGCTCCAGCTGCTGACCCCTCTTCATCTCAGGCAGTGGTTTGGGGTGGGCTTGCGATTGTTGAGGTTTGGTTTTACACCAGCACGGCTTGGGCTGTTGGGAGGAAGCATCTGCAGAAATGACTGAAAACAAAGGTGCGTGTGGCAGTGCAGGCTCATGTTGTTTTATGTTTTGTTAGCAGCAAGGAATGGGCAAATAGGGCACAGAAATAGCTGGAAAGTTGCTTTAGTTACAGTATTTTCCTGTCCCTCAGCCACTTGACTAGAGACGAAGCTTTATGTGATGCTGGTGCCTAATGAAAGCCTGAGCTGAGATGGAGAATTGGTTTTACCCCCTGGGGCATGATGCTCTTGCTCAAAATCAGTGCCCTTAATTCCGTGTATTTTAACTCGTCCCAGCTTGTGTCCTGTTCTTGCAGTGCCTCTCTGATATTGGAAGTGGTGGCTCCAGGTATGCTCCATCAGGGCTGTTTGCCAGTGGCTGCAAATGTGATACCAAATCTATGGATGCCTCTTGGTTTTCCAGCATCTAAGGGTTGTAGCTGGGACCTTGTTTGTTCAAGTTGCTCCGTGTTACCTTTATTCATTATATGTATAGTAACATTCCCTGAAGGAGGGGTGGGCATGGCTGGGGGGGGGAAGGAACGCTCCCTTCTTGTGTACTGGGGCTGGAGGGAAGGACAGCCCCATCCCTGGCAGTGTTGGACACAGGGGCTTGGAGCAAGCTGCTCCAGTGGAAGGTGTCCCTGCCCATGGCAGGGGGTTGGAACTGGATGGGCTTTAAGGCCCCTTCCAACCCAAACCAGTCTGGGATTCTGTGACTTGGTTTCTGATGACAACCCCATCCCACCATGGTGCAGAAGGTGAGTGGCGCTGCTGGTTGCCAGTGCCATGAAGGGTGAGCTTGTAGCTGGCTGCATAATGGCTTTCCTCAAAGCTTTCTCGGTTGAATAATGGATGTCTCTAGGTCCTCAGGAGATGCTCTAACGGCAGAGCTGGTGGCACACGTTCACTTATTCCTGTGCTATTTTTGAGTGAGGCGCTGACTCTCCTTGCACAAGCAGTGTTGCTGGGAGTTCCCATGGGTGAGGAACGCCTGTCCCTGGAGGTGACACTGGATATCCACAGGGCACCAGAGCTGAGATGAAGCTACGTGTCCCTGCAGGAGCAGTGTGCTGGGAAGGGGCAGCATGACAAGGCACCACTTCTCCTTAGGAGGGTTTTCCTTCTGGAACCCCCATCCTCGCTGGGAGGGAAGGAGCAGAGGCTGAGCAAGAATGCAAGTGGAGACTGAAGCATGTAGGAGATGAAAGGCAGGGGAAGAGCAGATGCCAAAAGGTGGTGGCAGGGGAAGAAAGAGCAAGGCTGAGTGGAACAGGGACCAAGTGACCGGGGGAAGCTGCAGTAGGGATGAGTCTACACGAAGAAGCAGGTTGAAGAAAAGCTGAGGCTGAGCAGGAGTGGGGGGATGAGGAGGAATTGAGGCTGGGCATGCATGTAGCCAGGGTGGCTTCTGGGGCTGAAAGGCTTCCAGAGGCATAGAGGAATTGGGATGCTGATGATGCTGTGGTATTTGGGGCCACGGTGTTGGAGATACGAGAGCTGAGGCTGCAGGGCAGGAGGCTACAGGACCAGAGACCATAGGAACAGATGCCTTGAGACCAGGGCCACGTTGGGTATGTGAGAGGAGGTGCCAAGAGGGAGTGGGAGGCCATGAAGGGTCTTAGGTTTAGAGGGTACGAGGTAGGGCAGGTGTTGGAGGGTGAGAGTCCCATTGACTGAGGATAGGAGGTGGAAGCTGTTGCTATACCCTGCCAGCAGCTTGCTTATGACTGGGGTCTGCATTATCTTCTCTGCACACATGGGTAAGCCCTTGCTCTCCCCATCGCACTTTGGGCTGATGGCTTTCAGGGCTCACCCATCACATTCAGGAGACCCACCTGAGTCCAACAAGGCTGCGGGTTTGACAGGGCTCATTATTCTCCCCTGGATGCAAACGCAGCACAATACAAAACTCATCCCTTGTGCTACATGGGATGAGGACTGTGCTAAACAGAGGGAAGAGGTGAAAAGCAATGCGCAAAGGCACCAAGACAAGAGAATTGCCAGGCTGGTTCCTGGAGCATTTTGCCTCGTGTAGCAACTGTTGGACCAACACGTGGCCTCTTAAACCTCACCTTAAACCACCTCCTGCTCGCTCTTGTTTAGTGGGTTTCATGTGGTCCTAACGCCTTTCTGCTTTGTGACCAGACATTGCTCATGGCACTGGCTTTGTGATAGTGCCTTCCTTTGTCATGGTGCTTTCTTTAGTGATAAGAAAACACTGATGTTTAAACAAATACATAATATGGAGAGGACAGGTCTCTGTGACTTCAATCTGCTCACGCTTTCTCCATCTTTCCATTTCCCAGCCCTGATTTGTGCATATATTGGCTCGTGTTTATTCTTCCAAGTTGGAAGCTCTGGTTTTAAAGAGTGGAGGGGATGAGCTCCTACCAGGGGTGATTTCTCACCAAGTAAAACATTCCTATGCTCTTTAGTGAAAATGAGAACTTCAAGTTACATATGGAAACCCAGGGTCTCCCACAATAGCTTCCAAAGCCAGGTCAGATAGAGCCCTCCCTCAAAGCGGCTGTATCTGTAGCTGGTTCATCTCTTTCCCCAGCTATTTTGAGTAGCCCAAAGCAGACAGGCATAAATCCAGTCTTTCAGAAAGTTCTCAGCCTCGGATGAGTTTTCCTGTTAAACCCAATTCCATCAGGGCTTTGATGCCTGTCCCATGGAGCATCGTGTCCTGTCGCAAGGCAAAGCCTCACCGTCACCTATGTCCCATCCTCCCCTTCCAAGCAGTGTTGAAAGGTGGCGGTGGAGCTTCCAATGTTGTGTCTTAGCAAATACAATGTCCTGAAAGCAAACTCATAGTCATAAATCTACTCTTGAGAGCATGGCAGTGGCATTCCATGGGCATTGTAACTTCCATGAGTGACTTGTTGGGTGCGAATCCATGTTTGAGGTGCTTACAGCTCTGCTTGCAATCGCTTGTGTTGCCCAGTCGAGTTCTCAAGCAGGGGAAGGTGGGATTTCCATGGGGACACCACGGTCTGACCCTGACCCTTTGCTGAGATCAAAGTGATGTTGATGGTGGAGCCAGGATGAAAAGCCCCAGTGAGCCATCGCTCCCAACGGATGGGCTGCATGGAGGAGCCTGCAGAGGTCAAGGCAGAGGATGAAGGCACTGCTAAATGGGAAAAGACTTCTTTCACGGGGAATAGATAAGAATAAGGAGAATTCCTGAGTGGAAGAAGACAGCACTGTCTGTAACCTACAGCCCTTGGGCAAAGGCTGTGCTGGTCCTGGAAGAAGCTGTTAGAGTCACTGGAAACAGAGGGTGAAGCAGCTGTGCCCTGGGGGCAGAGGGAGCATCCCTCCTTCCTGACCCTGTGCAGCAACATCCACTGTGGGCATCACACCATGGGCGTCTTCTCTTGTGAAGGAGAACAGATGATTTTGAAGTGGCCATCGTCAGGGCTGGGAACGGCCCCAGCGCTTCCCGTGCTGCAGATCCCGCTGTGAGAGGGAGCAGCTCTTTCCCCAGTGTGACAGGAGGTGCTGTGGCATGATCTGGTCTCTTGTACTGCGGAGCCTTGCCCGGGGAAGCAGAAGCCGCAGGTTTCCACTGGCTCTGGGACCCTGCTCCCGGTGGATCCATCCCCAACGCTGCCTGCTTCCACCAGATGATCTGCAAATGAAGTGTGTGTTAGATTAAAGGGGTTCAGGAGCACCTTTTCCCTATGGAATGCTCTGCAGAGCTGCAATAGAGCTGCTCCTGGGGCTGAAGAGGACATCCACCTCCCGCCTCTCTGATAAAGCCCGTGGTGCCTGTCATGCATCACCTCCATACCCATACCTAGTCCTGCCACCTGGAAAATTCCTGGAATCGGGAAGTGCCTTGAACAAGGAAGCTGCAGGTTCAGCATTAAGCATTTGTAGTATTTATAACATCATATGTCAGTCGTGTGTTCATCAAAAGCTGCTTTTGTAGCACATGCCAATGCAACGGTGAGAGGTGCTGGAGCTCCAGCAATGGGACAGGCTGGCTGCAGGGACCCACCACGCTCTGTGTGTGAGCTGGTCAAAGGACTCCGCTCCATCCTCTGGGATATGATAAGTGGGAGCATGGAAAAAGCACACAGGGCTTCCCTTCAGAGTGAATGCTCAGTGCCAGCGTGTCCTTTGACCAGAGCAGAGAGGAATGGCTTGACCTGCAGTTCTGCTGGAGGGGGGCTCCAAGAAACACAACGGCTCCAGGGCTGCTTCTCTGTGACATCCAACAGGACTGGCCTTGGGCTGTGCGTGTGTGAACATGGGGTGTGCGTGCAGGCATGGGTGAGTAGGCAAGTTCATTTCGTAAAGGCAGGGCAGAAGAGGAGGAGGGAGAATCAAAACCTCTCCTTTGACGTTGTGGCTGCCCCATCCCTGCATTGCTCAAGGCCAGGTTGGACAGGGCCTGGAGCAACCTGCTCTAGTGGAAGAGGGGTTGGAAATAGATGAGGTTTAAGGCCCCTTCCAACCCAAACCACTTTGTGATTCCATGTTCTTGGTTTACCCCACGTTTCCCTTTCCCTGTCTTTTCTCTTTCACGCACAGACTCGTGCCCGGAGCCTGCCCACCGCTGTGCGCTCGCCATCCCTCTCCCATTGCCCGCAGCGCATCCAGCGCTCACCTTTGGAGGAGTCCTCCCTGCGGTGGCAGGTCCCGGCGCTGTCTTGGCAGGAGACCCCCTCTCCCTTCCTCCGCAGGTGGGTCCAGCCCAGGAGCAGGGAGCAGAGCAGGGCGCAGAGGCAGAGCCCCAGCAGCAGGTACACCACCAGCCACGGCTCCTGCTCCGCGTACGTCTTCTGCTCCAGAGCAGGCGCCGAGGCCGGCACCGGGGTGGCCCCCAGGGCCCCCGCTGTGGGTCAGGCAGAGATGGGTGAGCTGAGATACCCCTGCAGGTCCATGCTTCGTGCTATGGGCTTTCCAATAGGGAAAGTGCTAATAGAGGCACCCAGCAGCCACACGCTGCCTCCATGCGCTCACATCCCTTTCTTATGGCGAGGTAAAGGAGATCCCTTCCCACCCTCCCTCCTCCGGTGACCATGTCTCAACACCATTGTGGGACTTTGGGAATGCAGGGACTATAACCCATCCCCTCCCCGAGGGCTGGGGGCAGCTCAGCAAGTGGCAAACACCATTGCTGGTCCTGCCCCTGGCTTGAAGAGCCCAAGGATGGGTCTATAAAAGGGTACGTGAGGAAATGGGAGAGGGATGCAGTGGAATGGCAGCACACAAACACATCACCCCAGGGTGAAGAGAGGGGGATTTGCTGCCCCTTCCCTCCCTTCAGTCCCGTAACCCAGCTCCTCTTCCAGCCCTGCCCCACATCCCCTGCCCTCCGCACATCCCTACCTTCGCAGGACTCGATGCACTGCTTGGGATGCTGCCCACAAACCGTGCTGCAGTTGATGCAGTTTTTCAGGAGCTTGTCGTAGTAGAAGCCGGGTTTCCTGTTGCAGTCCATGGACTCTGTGCACGGGAGGGAAACAACCGTGGAATGCTGAGCTCATCCTCCTCCTCCTCTGCTGTGTGAGCATCAGGTTCCCAAACCACCCCCAGCGCTTGAGTTTGTGTGAGGATGAGCCTGGGGCAGCTCTGAGCAAGCTCTGATGGGCGCTGCTGGTGTCAACAGCAGCTCCAGGGCTCGCAGGGGACAGATCTGTGGTGCTTTGGGCTGTATAATGGATGTTGGGGTGATGCAGCTGCATGGGAAGGGGATGGGATGCAGCCAGACATGGAGCTGTGCTCACCTGCAGCACGCAGCTCCTGCTTGCTCCTCTTAGACCTGGCTCAGCATCTCCTGCCTCAGTGAGGAGACGTGATTTGTCACCATCCATAGGGCTGGTCCCCTGTGTCCTAGGACAGGGGGCAGCAGTCCCACACTGCGTCTGCCTGGGGTGGGAAGGGGCCATGCACAGGGCTGTGCTCAGGGTTTGGGTGCAAAGTGCATCTGTCTTGTCTCTTCCCCCCTCCCTGTTACCATTACACCTCGGTGCCTGCCCCAGGGCAGCTTTGCAGACCTACAGCTTGAGTTTATCCCTATCCACATCAACTCAGCCTGCTGCGTCTTGAGGTCACAGAATGGTTTGGGTTGGATCATCCAGGTTGTGATCATCTAAAGTCCTGCCTTTGGAGGGTGCAATGTCCCTGATGGGGGATACAAGTGTTGATGCAGCTCTGGTAAGGCTCCCTGTGACCCCAAAAAGGAGCAGTACAGCGCTAGGGCCGACCTGAAGTCTGTGCCATTTGCCTTCCCCCCACTGGGAACCCATCAAACCCCAGCAATTGGGGCTCAAGGCTCCGTTCAGCTGCGCTCAGATCCTGCCCGGGGCCGCATCCCCAATCCCATCCCTGCCCCTGGTCGCGGTGGGGCCGCACTCACCGCACAGAGCCGCGCACCTCCTCACGGCAGGGCGCCCGCACACGAGGCTGCAGGGGATGCACTGGCAGACGAGCGTGTCCCAGTACTGCTGATCCGTGCAGTTGCTCACGGCATCGTCCCGCCCGGAGCGCGGCCCATCCATGGCTGTGGGGTGAGAGGCACCGTAGGGAGGCGCGGGGTCGATCACCGCGGCGCTGCGCTCATCCCAGCGCAGGGACCCGCGCTGCTCTCCCAGCCCAAAGGGAGCTTCAGGCTTAGAGAGCTCTTCAAGTGCTAGCCCTGAGTGAGCACATCCTGTGCCAGCCCCAGGGGACACGCAGGGAGAGCGCACGGGTTTATAGGCTGTGCCCTGAGGCTCTAGGGATGGGCGCGTCTGCCTGTGGGAGTGATGGGGTGGGATCTGCTCCCCTGACAGTCACAGCAACGCACCAGGGTGATCCCTGGGAATGTCTTCTGGGACGCAAGGTTTGGTTCTGGAAACTTCTGCATCCCTCCGTGGTGTCAGGGTGGTTTGTGTCATCCCGTGTGTCATTGCTGCCACCTCTCGCTGGCGTTCTGGCCTCATAATGAAACCCCTTTTTGACGTGTAAAACTCCCCAGTGCAGAAGGAGGGACGTGTCTCTCTGACAGCTGGAAGCACTGCTTTAACCACCACCATCAGCAATGCAGGAGGTGGACAAACCCATGTGCCTACGAGGAGCCATTGTCCCCCTGCCCCTGTGGGCTGAGTGCGATGCCAAAGGCACAGGAGAGGAGCAAACCCCAGCCAACAGCTTCCACTTTGAACAACCATCTTCCTATTAAGCATTTACTCATTAGGAGCTGCAATATCCCTGCATGTCCCCATCTTTGGGTGCTGCTTCTGCCTGTGTGAGGCCTCATCTCTACCATCGCAGATAGAGCGCCAGTGCTGGTCCCTGCTGATGCCAACTGCTCAGGGGTCCTGCTGCCGTTCCCTGCCGTGCCATGCCCGAGGCCTGTGGCAAGCACAACCAAGCAGCTTCAGGAAGCCCCAGCCCAGCAGCAATGTGCTGTTTGCCAACCGAGAGGGCTCGTGGGTCACCACATCCCTTCCCCGGAGCCGGGAGCCGCAGCTGTTTCCTGCTGGGCTTGGATGATGCTGGTGTTGATGGGGACCAGAAGGTTTCAGGCTCCCCCAGCACCACAGCAGGGTCCTGGTACCAGTGCCTTTGATGGTTACATGGAGAAGCCTCCGTGCTCTGATGGGGATCAATCCTTCTGTCTCTTGGGAGCATGCAGCATCAGGCACTTTGCATGTGCCTCTGTCCTGCACAGCACCTTCCCTGCACAGGGGCTGAGGATGGGCTTCCTCCATTGCCTGCTGTGAAGTGGCGCCTATCCAGGGCAGTGCCTCGCATCCTCAGGGATAAATCTGGGATGCCAGCCTTACAGTCCCAGTTGTTCAATTAACACTGCTATAACAGCTAATAATTGCTTTCTATTGAGCTCACTGAAGACATTCCCCAGGGCAGAGCGATTCAAGGATGCTCTTTGAAGATGCTTTGTACCCGAGGAGAAGAAGGAGAATGGATGGCAGCAAGTGCTGGGTGAGCCCATCCTCAGTCTACAGTGGGGTTTCACGTGGGGTAAGGGAGATCTAGGGCTGTGTCTAAGCTGTGGGGCTGCAGCTGGGCAGCTCCTTCCTTGCTGATGCTCCAAGGTTATATCCAAGGTGGTTTATGGCTCCATCTAGGGAATTCCTGCCCGATGGCTGAGCTCCTTTCCCCAGGGAGCCTCAAGGTACCCGTGATGCTCCTGGTATGGAGTAGCCAGGCTTTGTAGCCATGCCCGTTCCAGCAGAGCCGGGTGCATCTCCCCTCTGCTTCTGCACCTCAAACTTCCCCTATGGACCCCCCATCCAAAGCATTAAGCACCCGTTCCACCTCCAGCCCCACGGCACTCGCTGCCTTCAGCAGTGGGGACACCCCCTGCTCCCTGCCAGCACTGTGGGCATGCCCCCGTGTCCCCTCTCCCCCATGCAGCCCCTCCGTGGGGTAACTCACGTCTGTCGGTGTCTAATCCCCCTCGGCTCCTTCCATAGCACTGGGAGCTCCAGCCCCGAGCCCCTGCATCGCTCGAGAGGTTTATTATTAGAGGTTGATTTGGTTAATGCCGGGGCCATGCGTTTCCGGGGGGGTTCCCCTTATCCCTTCCATGCAAATGGGCTGCACGCATGGTGCCTCGCATTGGGTGTCCAGGTACCCCATGGCGTGGTGTCACTGGGGGTCCTGGGCCATGCAGAGGGGCTTGCAGGGGTGAGGGAGCTGCCCTTGTGTTGTGTGGCTGCGATGGGAGCTCCATCAGGGACTGCAGCGACAGGACAAGGGGGAACGGCTTCAAACTGCAACAGGGGAAGTTTGGATTGGATATAAGGAGGAAATTCTTTACTGTGAGGGTGGTGAGGCACTGGAATGGGTTGCCCAGGGAAGCTGTGAATGCTCCATCCCTGGTGGTGTTCAAGGCCAGGTTGGACAGAGCCTTGGGTGCCATGGTTTAGTGTGAGGCATCCCTGCCCATGGCAGGGGGGTTGGAACTGGATGATCTTAAGGTCCTTTCCAGCCCAACCCATTCTTTGATTGTATGACATGCAGCCACAGGACGTTCTGTGCTCTGTCACGGCACAGAACCCCATGAGTAGCATCCCGTTGATGGCTCGGTGCTGGTCATCCTGTCCTCCTCACACCCTGCTCCGGTTGGGACCAAGCATCACCTTGTGCACCCATCCTTTCCCTGTCCACAGGGGGTTGTCTTCCCATGCCATTGGCCTGTCTCATGGCACATAAAGCCTCTCACGGGCCTCAGTAAGACACTTTAAACACTGCTTTTCCCTAGTGCATCCATGCCTCAGGGTCGCAGGGGGCTGTGCTGCTCCATCCTTGCTGTGGGCAGTGGAGGTGCACCAGGCATTGGTTTTCCCAGTGTATTTATAGATCCCACCTCAACCCTGCAGGAGGAATGGGTGCAAACAGCAAAGGAGCAGCCGGGCACGTTCATTTCTGGAGGTTTTCCCCTTTCCTGCTGTGCCCGTGGCATTGGGAAGGAGCAATTGGTGCTGGGAGCCCTTCAGGACAGTGACTCAGCTCAGAAGCAGCCGAAGGAGGAAGGAAGGAGCAAATACCTGGTGCTTTCTCTCAACATCAGTGGGGGCAGCATCAAGGTTTTCCCATTCAGTTCAGGAGCTCCTACTTTGTGCCCCTCGTGACCATGCGGACGCAGGGTGTCCGTGGCAGGGATATCGGAGCCTGAACCGGCTCCAAGTGGAGAAACCCAGCACTTCATAGCTGCTCAGCTCCATGGTCACCGGATGTGGCCCATCGTGTCCCAGCTCCTGCGGGCAGGAGGGAACCAGCACTGGCATCATCCGATGGACACGGGCTGGGAGAGCAGGCACAGCATGGCCACAGGGATGCTGCAGCACCGATGCTGCGCTGCGTGTTGTGACCGCACATGCATCTGATGCAAAGGATGGGATCATCAGGGCTCGAGGCTCCCGCTGGGAAAACCTATGGAGGGTGTCAGGAGGGAGCAGGAAGGCAGAGACGTGGCTGGGAGGGGGGTTTGGGGAGGAAAAGACACCTTTGACCACCCATAGCCAGTCTATGGACGGCTTCATCCCCACTCCCGTGGTGCCATGGGCAGGCATTGCCTGTGCTGCTGGAGCGTGGCCCTGGAGTGAGAGCCCCATGCTGCAGCTCTCGGGGTTTTGCAGGGGGAAGCCTGCCTCTGTAAATAGCACGGGGCCACTCGCAGTTTCCACCCCGGCGTGCAGCGAGGGGGAAGTGAGAAGCACTTGGGGGTGGTTTGTCCCCCCATCGCTGAGCACGTCACGCAGGGTGACTGCAGCGTTGTGAGGCTTGGTCTGTGCTGGGCACCCCAGCAGCCTCACCCTCGGTACCCTCAGTGCCATCAGCCCCTCTTACAGCCTCCAAGGGCGGTGTGTGGCTCTTAAGCACCCCCAGACACGCTGGTAGCTGCCATCCTGCCCTGCCTGGGGTCACCCCTGTGCTCTGGGGCACGGGCAGGGCTTGGGCAGCGCCATCCAGGTGAAACCCTTCCTCTGCTGTGTGCCGCTGGTGGCACAGCCTCCATCAGCAGTTCCCCATGCGGCTTCCCAGCGCGGGGCATCCCCTCTCGTTCCCACTGCATCCCCACTGTGGTTTCGCATCCTTCAGCTCCCATCTGCCCCGGTCTGTTTGGGGTGATGGAGGCCGGTTTTGTCCCCAGTAGCATTGCAGGACGGATGACATTTGGCTCCAAACAGCCTTTTTGGGATGCTTTGCCTTCCCCTGGAGCAGCTTTGCTGGGGTATTTTCCTCCCAGCCTCTCCTTTTGCAGTCCCTGTGCTCAGGCAAGGTTGAGCTTTGGCCAAGGCACACGTGCTCCCTTCGGGACCTGAAAGAAGGGGCCAGGGAGAGGGGGAGAGGAAGAGGAGTCATTTTGGGTCGAAACCAGCACCCGAGCACAGATGGCTCCGGGGCGGCCGCTGAGGACTCGTTTCTTTCACCCTATTCCCTGCGGACGGCTGCTCTCGGAGGTGCTGGGCTCAGGATGCGCCCATCCCTCCGTGTCCGGCCACCGTCACCAGTTCAGCACGGCCGAAGCCTCAGGGTTGCTGGTGCACAGCAGCCATTGGTGCTGCCCGCTTTCAGTGCGTGGTGGCACACGGGGTGCCTGTGCGGGACCTGCACCCATACGTGGCCGCAGAGCCGTGGCCATCCCCTTCCTAAAGACCCGCAGTGTGCTTGTGGCCACGTCCCAAGCATCCCTGGCTGCCCAACAACCCATCCATGAAGTAAGGGCAGGGGTGATTTGGGGTGGTTGGAGAGCCTCGGGGTGCAGCTCCAGCTCCCCACTGCCTTGGGGTCCCATCCTGCGCTCTGATTGTGTGGGTCTCTCTCCAGGAGATGGCACCCTTGGCTAGCCCAGCCCGGCTCCTGCCCGCTGCATCCGGACATCCTCCAGCCTTGCCTCCCCTGTACCAAGGTGAGTGTTGCCCACACTGGCTCCGGCCAGGCCTCAGCACCTCCGTTTGCACGAGCCCCCTGTGCAAAGCGGGGTTCGGATGCCCCCATCCACCCCACATGGCTCCATTCCTCCCTTTTGCACCAAGGCCTCATCCTGCCACCGCCCCACGGGGCTGCAGTGGGGCATCATCCCAAGGATGCTCAGCACCCACTGGGCTCCAGGCAACCCTGTACCATGGGGTCTGTCCTCTCACAGTGGTTGTGTCGGGGAGGGGGGGGGTTACAGGGGAGCCATGGGGTGATCCAGGCTCCAGAGGTGCCCACGAGCATCTTTAGGGAGCCAAACCCCCGGCACATACGCCAAGAGGGAAGCGTTACCGTAAACCAGGCTGTGTTCAGAGCCAGCTCCCCGAACCTGGTACCCGGCTGGAGATCATCAAGGACCTGGAATGGGAACAGACCCGGCTTGGCTGAGGATTGGCATGGAAGCAAGGATAAAACCTTATCAATGCCGAGCAGAGGAGCAGGGAAAGGACTTCAGCACCAGGGATCAGGGAGATGAGTCCTCAGGTGACCTAAACGGGACCAAGGCCCCATTCCCAGCTCCAGCATCCCTGGATTCACTCAGGACAAGGGTGTTTCTGGCTGGACCCTCCAGGAAGGGGCTCGGAGTCTGCTGAGGAGGTGAGCTGTTGATCCTTAACACTGTGGATGAAAGGGCTAAAAGGGAATCATGGACCTTGAAGGGGATGGCAGTCGCAGTGCATATTATGGGATGGGTAACTGGGGATGGTGACAGACAAAAGCTGAAAGTGTAATGCAGATGGGTGGGTGGGTTCATGGATGGTGCCTGGTGATGGCCTGGGTGATGGAGGCTCTTGTGTGGCTGCGTTAGGATGGGTACTGCGCCAAAACCTATCTGAAGGGGTTGGTTTATGGCCATGGGATGTTCTCGTTGGGGTTGGATGGAGGCAGCAGAGACCAGAGGCTGCGGCTGCACGGGGAAAGGGGATGGGGATGGGGAAGTTGGAGCTGGGAGAGGGATTTCAGCAGCGATGCTGAGGCTGAGGGTGGGAGGCAGCAGAAGGGGATGGGCTGAACTGGACTGGGCTAAACCGGGCTGAATTGGGGCTAAGATGGACTGGGCTAAACTGGGCTGGAGTGGTGTGAATTGAGACCAACTAGTCTTATGTGGGGTGGAGAAGGCTAAACAGTGCTGAACTGGGCTAAACCGGGCTGAAGTGGGCTAAAGCGGGCTAAAGTGGTCTGGACTCTTCTGAAGAGGGCTAAAGTGGGCTGAAGTGGGTTAAAGTGAGCTGGGCTCTCCTTGGGTGGGCTAAAGTGCGCTGGACTGGGGTAAAGTGGGTTAAACTAGGCTAAAGTGGTGTGAAGTGGGGTAAACTGTGCTGAATTGGCTAAACTGGGCTGTGCTAAAATGGACTGGGCTGGAATGGGCTAAACTGGGCTGTGTGGACTGGTATGAATTGGGCCAAATTAGACTTCAGTGGGCTGGACAAGGCTAAAGAGTGCAGAACTGGGCTAAAGCGGGCTGGGCTGGGCTAAAGTGGGTTGGAGTGGTGTGAAGAGGGCTAAGGTGGGCTGAAGGGGGTTAAAGTGGGCTAAAGTGGGCTGAACGGGGCTGGACACATCTGAGCTTGTCTAAATGCAGCTGGACTGGGCTGAAGTGGACTCAATTTTGATGGGCTGGGCTAAAGTGGGCTTGAATTGGCTGAGCAGGTGTTGGCTGGGCTGGTGTGAGCTAAACCAGGCTGAAATGTGCTCAAGTGGGCCTAAGTGGGCTAAACTTGTCTGGGCTGAGCTGGAGTGGGCTGGGCTGTAAAGTGGGCTGAACTGGGTTAAATTGGGCTGGGATAGGCTGGGCTGGGCTAAAGTGGGCTGGCCTGAGCTGGCCTGAAGTGTGGTATGTTGGGGTGGGAAGGGGTAAAGTGGGCTGAAGTGGAGTGGGCTGGGCTGCGTTGGGCTTAAATGGGCTGGAGTGGGCTAAATTGGGGTTAAGTGTGCTAAAGAGGTCTGGAGAGATGTGAATTGGGCTAAAGCAGGCTGGAGTGGTCTAAAGTGGGTTAAAGTAGGCTAAAGTGGGCTGAAGTGGGCTAAAGTATTCTGAATTGGCTAAACTTGGCTGTGCTGCAATGGCCTGGGCTGGAGTGGGCTAAAGTGGTCTGGACTGGTGTGAATTGGGCCAAAGTAGGTGTAAGTGGGCTAAAGTGGGTTGGACTGGTGTGAAGAGGGCTAAAGTGGTTTAAAGTGAGC